AGAGGTCTCAAAACACATCAACTTTTCTGAGGCTGAAGGCAGATCTTAGGAGATGGGAAATGTATCTAACTTGAAACCCAATGTATCTTAATGCTGATTAAGAAACTAGCAATTAATGTAACTTACAGTTTTCCATTTGCTGCCCAGCATCTAATATCCTGTTGCATAGTGGGCTAAACTCAGCATGTTTAACTACATGGAAATAATGCTGTTAATCTTGGATCTGTCCTCACCTGGCATTGGGCCAAGAGAGAGCCTAGACATGCTAAAAGTAAATCTCATTTGGGCTTTGGATAAAGTCCTTGCATCCATCTTCATGCTGTTGGACTTCTCTGTAGTAGCTGAGAGAGCCATTGCTGTGAATGAGAAAAGAGGATTTCAGCTAACGGGACTCACTGGGATGACGTAAGACATTTGAATAATAATCACAGAGATAAAAAATAACCATGCCTCAGGTTGAAATCTGTGCTGTTCTTGCCTTCATAATTTGTAAGTATCTGACAGTGCAGTAAAGAAAAATATGAAGCAAAGGGAATAAAATCTCAGTCATGCAGATGTGACCCAGCTTAACTAGCAGTAATGAACACTTTATTTTATTTATTCAGAGGTCTGGCTGAGACTAGCAACTGAAGAAACATTAGTTTACAAAACCAGCAGATGTGATACAGTAGGAAGGAAGGGGAGAAGTTACAGGAATCTTAACATGACTGCAAGCATTCAAAAAACACCATAACCTGGGTGCCTTCGTCAGGTTTTTTAAGGCGCTCACATCATTTAGGCATACCTGATTATTTTACTCTGAGGCATACAAAAGATGACAAGCACAGCTGCAATTAAATGTGCATGCTTCAAACAAGTACTGGAATCCAGAAAGAATTTAAGAGTTCATTATTTCCTTACAATATCCAATGCTCCAACAAGTTTATCGAGCCTCAGTAGTGTGTGTGATCCCCTCCCCTCGAATAGATAACATATTTGCCTTGCAAATATATGAAATACATTGTTTCTACCTAACATGGCTTTCTAAGAAAGAAGATTCCTTATCAAATGATAGGGAAATATTTTAGTGATTATGCATCCATTTATGCATCAGTTCTTATTGGCTGTATTGCATATAAGGGTAAATAACTAGCACAGGATGATTCAAAGTAAATAAACACAGGGGTTGCATATATTTGTGAGCATTTACTAGTCTGTAGAACTGCTTTGTGTTATTTGTGTGTGCATTTTCTGCTTGTGTTTTGTATCATTAATTCTATAACCATAGTATGTGCTAAGATTTAATGTCTGCAGTGATTATCTATGTTTACATGTTACAAGAATTGCATTATTACATTAAATGTGTGCTTAGTCTCAGGTCAGTAGCAAATGACTTCTTTGGAGCCAGTGCTGATTAGTGCAATTTTTAGCAGCATTGTAGAAGATAGTATTTCTTTACTTAGCCATGCTAAACAATATCTTGGCTTTTGCTGTAAAAGAGAAAAGGGAAAAAGAGGCAGAGAAGGATGCTTCTATGCATATGAAATGCAGCCTTGGGGAAGATGCAAATCTGGAATGAAAACTAATTGCTTTCTATTTTGTTGCATAGCCTGGGCTATGTGCAGTAGGGCTGACCAAAAGGAGTATGTGCTTTATGTTAACTAGTAGTTATTACTGCAGAAAGCTGCCACAAACCCAGACCTTATTGAATTATAAATGTGCTTTGATGGGTCTTCCTTGATAGGTGGATAGAGGGGGAAAAGGATGATAGTGAAGCTAGTGGAATGGAAAAACAGTTATATTTAATCAGAAAGATAAAATTCACTGTACATCATACCTCAAAAGATTTCTAAATATGATTATATGTAATATAAGTAATTAAATGCAATTATATTAAAAAAGTTTGGATGTTAGGTGTTTTTTTTTTTTTCTTCCCTGTAATTGTCTTCAGAAAGTGAAGAGAATTTTAGCATCTAAGTTGTGGGCATACATATTGTCCACTGAACTAGTTTTGTGTGGTTGTGTCTGTTCAAGGGCAGTTTAAAGGACAAGGCTGAACATGGCAGTCATCAGTGATTTGCATCCTACAACAGGGAGGCATCCATCTACATATGAACAGCTTTTTAGCCATTTAGGTTAATTGTCTTTACAAGATAATTCCAATATGCTCTTGGCAGATCTTGAGTTCTGTAACTCACTTTTCTATATTTTTAATAATGCCATTTTTTCTGAAATGTCAAGCTGAACTTGACAAAAGGATCTTAAAAATAGAAATATTGTGTCATGGGTCTGCAAAATAAATACAATACAGAACAGTAATGCTGGAATATGTTCAGACTGGGAAGGCAATCATGGTATGTATGTGATCTCTGGATAAGTGTTCAGAATTTCATTACTGACCATTTGAAAGCTGAATACACAAGGTTTACACCACTGACTTTATTTATTTCAGATTATGTATTTAAAATATATTATACAGAGTTCTATCTTTTAATTTGTGTTTATTGATAATACAAAATAACTGGAATAATTTTATAGCTTTCTGTTGTTCATAGGAATGCAGTATTTAATATTTTATGCTGACAGGTGTTCCTGAGTTCCAGATGGCATTGGAGAATTATGTAGGTTGTCTAATCATCAGTAAGTGGCTTATATGGAGAAGTAATTCATACCATGATTCTTTTTCTTATGAGTCATCAGGTGTGTCATACAAAATTTCTACTGAGGAAAAGATTAAAATGGCTCCTGTTCTGCCATACAAAAGTATACCAAAAAGGATTCTTTTTGGTTATGTTTTTATTTGTGCTGTGGGTGTATTAAGAATGTAATCAAAAAGGAAAAGGATTTAACTGAAGGTTTAAAAATGCTGAATTTTTTTTCTGTAATATTAATACTCTCTGGAGCTGATTTTTGTGTTGTGTTTCAAAGGAAATCAATCACCCAGTTTATTGAAAACACTGACCAAATATCAGAGACAGAAAATAAAAGTAGCCAGGTATGAAGAAAGTTAGGTAGAAAGAAGGATTAAGAAAAGGAGTAATTTCTGGTTTTCCCTGTAAAATGAAAATTTTAGTGCTATCCATTGTTCAAAATATTAACAGCAAGTACCATACCAGTGGAGCAGAGGACCTACTAAGGGAGGGTCAGCGAGACATATTTATTGCAACTATTTAATAATTTTCTATTGTCCAAACAATTTCCTGTTTCCTAATGTGTGTTTATTGTTGTTCATTTATTCATTTATATTTTTCATTTATGGTGGTGGTCAGCACAGATGATCTTCAATAAATGTTTGTGTAATGTTCAGGTAGCTTTTGTGATACAAGCAATAGTGTCTTTTAAGATCATGCATTAGTTTTCCTTTTTTAGTAAATACATATAAAAATACATATAATAAAAATTATGTGTATTGTCACCTACACTTTAATCTATTTTCTTGTCATCTAGAATATGAGGAATATGTCCTAATTCCAACATGCAGAAATATCCTGAACTTCTAGAAATGTGTCTACATTAGCACATAGGAGTTAAAAATGCTTTAGTATGGATCCATCTTTGAAAAGAGGTACTTTCCTCCTTCCATTCATCTACCACATGATGAAAGCACCAACATTTGTAAGAGCTATAACTAAAAATGCCCCAAAGCATCTGTCATACAATGATGCTTATCAGCTTTTCTAAATGTGTGGTTTCTCCATTGGTCTGAGGTGTAGAGGGGCAGTGCATGGTTCTGGGAGGTTTAAGGATCAGCCTCTTTGCAACACAAGATGATACAGATACAGTTAGGGCTGTATCATAACTAAAGAGGAAGCTTTGGGAAGCTTTCCAGGAGGTCTTTTATACAGCTTTGAAATATCCTGGGTAGTGATCTTTATCGATACATTAGTAGAAATTGCACTTTAGACATTTAAGTTTCTAAACCATGGGCCTTTCTATTCCTTTGACTTAAAATTCCTGGCTACAGCTGCAGCCTCACTTTGTACTGTGATAAGCAGGTTGTTGATCTAAGGTTGAAAAGCATTACTCCTAGCACCCATGGTGACCTTCTTCCTTCACGACTGCATGCCAAGAAGTGGAAGTCAGATGTCTTTGAAGGTTGTTGATTGCCTTTTAATTTTGTTCAAATACATGTTTCAGGGTTACAGTGTGTGGTGGCACTGTGAAAGATGGAGAGGATGACTCCACTGTCTGCTTTTCTATACTCACCACTGTATTTAAATTTCTAGTATGAGACGACAAAAATAGTAACAGCTATGTCTGTAAGACTCATTAAGTTAGGTTTCTCTGTGAAATATGTGCAGCAGATGCTGCTATGTGGTGAAGGTCATTTCAGCATTCATTTGGAAAATATAAGAGGTGAAATCATGGACTGAGTACAGTTGCTGAGCCCTGGTCTCCATGGAGCTTGTGGTTTCCATGTGAAAGCCTCAGCTTTTACTTACTCTTTTATCCCAGATACATTATTTCTTTTACTATGTGTTTGCTGATATTTTATTGCTTTAGGGAAGTAAAATGTTTGTACCTACATTTAAATAAACCATTGTGTAATAACTATATAAATCAATAAAATATTTATAAATACAATTAAAAAGAGAGAGAAGTGTTCGGCTGTTTATAAATATATGCCATGTTTATTGTGCTCTGATTACAGCTTCACATAAATATAATTCTTCTGCACATTGCTTTTGAATTGGGCTAATAGAATGCAAGCCCAGTATGTTTATTTTTATGTAAACTTTGTCCAGTTAAGTTGTTAAAGCTGTGCACCTTAGAAGTATTAGAAGGTATTAATGTACATTGGTTTAATGAAAAAACCCAAAACACTTTATGCCTAAATGTTGATTTTTATCAGTCTGTTGTTTCCTATCATCGTCTCTTCATGTGGGTAGAGTTTCCTAAATTGAATGATTTTCCACTTCTGTGGTGCTTTACAGTTCTGAAATGCTGTGTGAATATATTATAGCACAGAGCAGCCTGGTCAGGAAGGTAGGTAAGTAAGTATTATTATCCCTATTTTACAGATGGGGAAGCTGAGGCACAGAGATTAAGTGACTTTTCCAAGGCCACACAGCAAGTCAGTGGCAGATCCAGGATTAGCGCTCGGGGACTTCCTGGATCCCTCTCCCATGCTTTAAGCAGTAGACCACAGTGTTCACTGGACTCAGCAAGCAACTCATTGCAATAATGGACAGTTCCAAGGACTCATACCTGGTCAGTGTGTCCATAAATTTTTTTGCAGACTCCTGCAATAAGTCAGTATGATTTGAATACCCTGGTCCTAGCAGATTTGTGCACTGTGTAAAATTTCTGACCTTCATCATCTTCAAATAGGGAAAAAGGAAGAAGTGTTAGAATTCTGAAATAAACATCACATGGCTGTCAAAAGCATTGAGTTTTCTTAATTCTGATCCTGCTGAAACTAATGGGCAAAACTGCAGTGGATTCATGGCTTTGTTAAGTGTGGAGGTTGCTTGACTGCTTGGTACATTAAAAGTCATCCAGAGCATGAATTCTATCTCCCATGACTATAGTTAGTCTTGCCTATATTTTCAGTTTGAAACTCTCATTTATTGCAACACATAAAAAATAACAATTTTATAGTTTTTCTGAAAAGGTAATAAAAAGCAGATTATCAACTGAAATTAAGTTTCTAGTCTCTAGTCATCATGGGAAAGTGGAGTGGATTTGCCACTATTTTTACTTGTATGGCAATAGTGTTTCCCTCCAACTGAGATTATGACCTAATTGCACTAAACTAATAGTGAGCCCTTCTCTCCTGTCTCCCCTCCTTCAAGGAGGTAGTACAGGAATAACAGAAATTACTTCTAGACTAAATGCAGTGTGACTCTTGTACTGGTAAATGCAAGGTGGCTTTCATACTGCTCTCTGGGGGAAGTGAGAGTGTACAGTGCAAGGCCTGTTTAATTGGCCTTTGCTCAGTTTGACAAGTGAATTGGCATCAACACAATACTCCCAATTAAGCTGTTTTTCCCTATAATATTAATGGAATAAACCCACTTCTGAGAATGAGACGAGACTGAGATTTGCTGTGACATTACATGAAGAGGAGGCAGGGAAGAAAAAGATTGCCAGAAGCTGAAAATTGAACACATGGGAAAGGAGAAGTCAAAGTGTATGAGCATATTTTGATAAATATTAATGAATTAATTTGTATTTAATTTACTTAGATAATCTGTAAAGGCTTTAAACTGTCCAGCGATTTAATGTGTTCCCCATTGTAAATTTCTCCTAACAGTGTTTCCATGAGGCCTTTTCAGTATCAGTGAAATACTGATGGCTGTCTTATACTAGAATAGCACTATTTCTGATACGCCTGCAGTACAAATATGGACTTTGGCATCCTGCCTAACCATTCACCCAGGGGCATGGCATCATGCCAACATAACGAATGCCCAGTTGTGTCTAAACTGCTTAAAATAATGGATTCATTTTTACCTAAGATGATAAAATGGTTTCTGTGAAATTATACTGCCCTGGTACACCTTAATAGATTATTAGGTTCTAAATTATTAAAAGATAAACCAGTTTCAATAGAAGGCCTCTTCTCATTGCCAGATTGTAGTTGCATGCTATTATCTGTGGGAAAGCTCTAGTAAAGATACTGTAACACTAAGTCTCTCTTTCTTTCTTTAACAGCCCAGATGCTTGGAGCTGACACATTCCCAGGATTTTTCTGTATAACATAGATACAGCATGATAGCTATTTTTAAAAAAGAGAGGAGCCTGAAACAAAAACTTATATCCGGAATGCATGACATCCAGCTCTAGATGTGAATCTTTTTTGCCTGAGGCAGCTGCTCTTTAAGGAGAGATGCTTATGTAGTTAATTTCTTGTTATATTTGTTTTCGTTCTATATATAGATGTAGATATTTAGCATGTAACATGGATATTCAAATTCCCTTGCTTCAGACTTCTATTAAAGTACGAATTTTATACACTGGAATCAAGTACTTGTAGTTCTAATATTGCTTACTAAAACCCTTTCACTAATGACAAGTAAATATGTGTTCATGATACATTAGTTCATGTTTTTGTATAATTCATCCTTTTTTCTTCATCATCACTTACTGGAAACCACACTAAATCATGTTGTGAAATATAGGCTGTGCTTAGTGACTGTATTTTTACAACTGGTGATGTCAAGCTCATAGTAAAGCCAGTATTTGTTTTAGCCCTTTTGCTGAAATCCCGAAAGATTTCTCTACTTAGAGAAATGTGATTTCCTCCCCTTCCCTCCTTCATGTCAGAAGTGACCATTATAACTAATTTTGCAGCTTTTTTAGACTAAACATGATACACTAATTCATCATGCAGTACATTTACAGCGCAGTAGAGGATAGTTAAAATGCATGTATGATCACAGTATAAAATTAAACAAATATATGTTCTTAAGGAAGAACAGCTTCTCTCTTTTCTACTATTACTTTTTCTCTCTTCCTTAATTGTAATTAACAGTTGGTGTTTGTAAATAAAAGCAAAACCTTTGCAATTCACCAGTAAGCAAAGTCAGTTGTTTTCATGGTATTAAAGTATTCTTTCTTACCATGTTGTGAGTATCATTCTCTAGCTTTGCCAAAGTATCCTGGTCAAAAGACAAAAATACATGTGCAATCCCTTTCTTCGAGAGTACAAAAATAAAGCTGCCTCTACCAGACATTTCTTCCCTCATCTCTCTTGTTTTCCTATTGACTCATCTTTTTCTTAGTTCCCAGTAACCCGTGTTTATTCATCATCTTGCAGGTTTTAATATTTCTTCATATGTCAGTTAGCTATAATCTTACTTCAGTAAAAACGGAGGCATGAAGAATAGATTTTAATAAGAAAAATTATATTCTTAAAAGCTTTTTTGTTTCTGAGTAGGAAAAATTAAATATTAAAAGCATTTTTGTTTCATAATACTATACAAGCTTCCAAATTTTCCAAATGAGAAGCAGCTTACCTGTCCTTTTTTGTGTTTTACAGAGGAATGATGAAGAGGCTGTTGTGGATAGAGGTGGAACTCGCTCCATTCTCAAGACACATTTTGAAAAGGAAGATCTAGAAGGTGAGAGATAATTTTTCTGTGCATTACATTGTCTCTTTTTTTCTGAAGGTACTGAAATGCAGTTTCAGTGTGTAAACTTACTTTGAGCAGGGGTGCAAAAAGAGTGAACAAGAGAATAGAATCTTACGATTCATTTTAAAAAGAGAAATATTACTCTTTTCTCACACTGGTTATCAGGTAGAGATGATGGTAGAAAGAGTTGGCTGGTTCTCAGTAATCTATAATCAAATCCTGTCAGCATGTGTGTATGACTTTAGATAAGTCTTTCTACCTTTAAGTTTTGAAATACCTAAATGCAAACAGGATTGACGATTTAGGGTGTATAATGGCTTCTACACTTGCTTTACCATCCCCGTCTAGTTGCCTTGCCACATCTTCAGCTGAGCAAAAACATTCTGAAGTGACACAGGTTGTACGCATACTTGATAATACACACTCCAGAAACTACCCAACGTCATGTAGAAGAAAGTGAGAGGTTGTGAGAACTATCTTATCATATTGGTCTAATAATTCAGATAGTCTCAGAGTCGCGTTTCACTCTGTTTAGTGGATCACAAACTTATTCTGTACTTACACTGTTGTATGAAGTTATGTAATACCCCTCCCTCCCCCAGATCATAACTACTGAATGACACTGAATTTCTGTTGCATGTATAATATCCCATCCCAGAGACTGGAACTTACTGATTTTAATTGTTAGCTTCTTGTGGTGGGATGTAGAAGGTTCTTGTCTTTGTCATACACAGCCACAAGCACTAGCCAAAGTGAAATACTAAGATCTGGAGTGTATTTGAACTTCCTACATCTGAAAAGTTGCCTGCCTCATGTCTAAAGAGAGTTCTCTCTATCTGCGCATGAACTCGAGCTTTCTAAATGCCTGCCCTTGATTACTTCATCATATTTTTTTTCTTCTCCTTTCTCTCTGGCTGTATGAATTTCACGTTCTTTGCTACGTGGTTGCCATATTGATGATTTCATGTGAATATCAACATGATGCACAACAACTCCCTGTTTTGCTTCCCTCAGCAGTGCCTCAAAAAGCATTTTGAAAGGGGCCTGGATGTGTTAGTCTGTATGAGAGGTTATCTCTTACAGAAAGGTGTATCACTCACTGTAGTATGTATAAGATAGGCAGCTCTCTGCTTAGTCTGTGGCAAGTCTGTGTACATGCAAGGGTAGATCTCAGGTAACATGTTTCCAAAGTGGCATTTAGGGTTTTTGGGTGTCTTCATGGGGTAAATGGCTACCTGTGGATCAGGCTGGCTATGACAATTTTGAACATCAGAGAACAACCCCTTTTTTTTTGAATCTTACACTTAGTCTTCTGTAGTATTCAGTCCCTTGATCATGTCTTTGGACAGAGTGAAACTATTGTATCTGGTGTCCTTAGAGAAACCTCTGATAGAAGAATGCAGGCTCCCTGCCTTTCCTTCTCCGTAATGCTGATTCACAGAATTTTTTGTTGGGTTATCCTACCCCAAAAAATTCCTTTTGCTGAGTCATTTTATTGTTGATGGTAAGGTGGCATTATAGAGATGTACAGTTTTCTAGAGAATGACATCTTTAAGTCAGTCACCTGGGTAGACTCAGGTGTTAAGGAAATCAGGGTGACTGTGATGTTCCACATGTGATTGCATGGAACCTAAAGCTTCATCTCAAAATTTGAACAAGTATGCAGTTTAAAAATGTTGTGGTTTAAGCCCAGCTGATAACTCAGAACCACGCAGCCGCTCGCTCACTTTCCCCTTTCTTCCTCTCTGGCTCCTGGTGGGATGGGGAGGAGAATCAAAAGAATGTAAACAGCACGGGTTGAGATAAGAACAGCCCAGTAACTAAGGTATAACACAAAACTACTACTGCTACCACCAGTAATAATAATCGTAAGGGAAATAACAAGGGGAGAGAGTATAAATCTAAAAAGGGAAGGGCTAAGAAAAACAATAAACACAAGTGATGCACAATACAACTGTTCACCACCAACTGACTGATGCCCAGCTTGACCTGAGCAGCAATCTGGGTGTTCCAGGTGACTCCCCTCAATTTATATATTGGGCATGACATGCTGTGGTATGGAATACTCCCTTGGCTAGTTTGGGTCAGGTGTCCTGTCTCTGCTTTTTCCCAGCTTCTTGTGCCTCTCTTCAGTGGCAGAGCATGAGAGACTGAAAAGTGCTTGACTGGGGTAACCATTACTTAGTAACAACTAAAACATTGGTGTGTTATCAGCATTGTTCTCAGGCTAAAGCTGAAACACAGCACTATACACGCAGAAATATAAGAAGGAGAAATATAACTGTTACAGGTGAACCCAGGACAAAAAAACTATTTAATTACTATTTTTCACCACCATCTTGTATATATAGAGTTGCTCCTGTGAAATATCAGTGAAATATTCTTTCAAAAATCTGCTCCTAGGTTATTATCAATAGAAATCAGAACATCACAGTGACCCCCTCCCCATCCTTTCCATGAGTTTAAATTGTTTAGAATACTGAAACATTCTGTGAGTCTGCTTTCCTTTAAAATAAAATCACACTGCTCCCTAATGTTCTAACAATCATTCAATATAAAAGCCTTCATAATGCGGTTAGCTTTCTCAGATAAATTTCATGTCCAATCTAAGATCAGATCAGTGTGTGTATAAATATATAACTGCATCCAGAAATACCAAGTGACATAAAAAGATCATAAGAGATTGTAAATTTTAATATCCAGTTGCTGTTAATAGCATGTCCATTTGTTTTGCAGGACATTGAGGCACTTTTCCATCTGGAAGCAATGGATGTGACTCACAAATGTCACTTTCTTATTTTTATCCAATGTACATTGTGTTGGGTTCTGCTGAAAGCTTACCTTTTTCATAATGACATAAAAGATATAAAATATGAAATTATATAATCAGGTGCTAATTGCATAGCTTAGTAAAAATCATTTAATTAGATAATTAATATGTATTATCCAATTAGTTCTTTGACAGATACTTAATTGGATTTATGTTTTAAAAATATAAATAGCTAGTTACTGAATATTCTAGCAAAGACTAGTTTTGACAGGGTTTAAGTTTATATCAGCAACATCTCAAACCTGCAATTCATATGAAGAACTAAAGGTTCTTTAAATCTGAAAATCAATATTCTGTTTCTTCTGATTAAATTTTAAAATTGTAAGTATTTTTCTATATTTTAATTTTAGACTATCAGCATTCAAATGTCAGAAATACTGATTTAAATGTGTACTGAAATTTCTATCTGAAATTTCTTGGCCCAGCAAATACTTGTATTTTGGGACAGCCATTGTGCAAACATAAGTACATATCTTGCTGAAAGCATGAAAATATCCTGGTGATTAATGCTGCCTGGAAGAACATCCACAAGACCAGAATTTTGCCTCAGTCTCTTTTGATCAGTGTTTTTATCTTCCCTGAGCAGTATAATGAAAATCTGGGGAGACAGGACAGGAACTGCAGTACTTACAGGAACAGAAGAGGTGTGGCGCTTGTCTTAGTGCCAGTAATGATGCTTGCAGTATGTACTTCAAATTGTATCATTTTATTTAAGTGCTTCAGAAGTAGACTGCAGAACTTTGGCACTCAGATTTTCAGCATGGATGATTTTTATAATGTAATTCATTTTTTGCTAATGGTTTAGTGTGAGGTGTCCCTGCCCATAGCAGGGGGGTTGGAACTAGATGATCTTAAGGTCCTTTCCAACCCTAACTATTCTATGATTCTGTATTTCTATGCTGAATTGTAAGGTCAAGATCGGTCACTAATACCAAAGAGGTCACTTGTCTGACTGTTGCATTAGTGAAAGGACAGAGAAGGCATTTCTAAAAGCAAACCAAGAAGGCTGTCTCCCGTGGTTTTAATCGCATACTTTGCATGTTATCTTTCAATGTGTGCGCAGATCAGTGGTGAAATTCCTAAATGAGAATTGGGCACTGATTCTGGATAGTAAAGTACTTAATTGCAAAAGGACAGGCTGTACATGTACCTGAACTGGGAGCAGGTAGGCAAGTTTTCATAAACAGATGTGCACAGTTGCACTCAGCTTACTCCCTGTTGTCATCTCTGGCTTTCTGCCATTGCTTCAGTGGATGTTCAGTTGTAACAGTTTTCTGACAAAATATATATACCTACTTTTTCTCTCATAGATTAGAAATGTTCGGATCGATCTCCACGTGTTGCGACTTTTGGACTATATAGGTACGCAAAAGGGTTGGCACTAAGTGCACTCTCACTAAAGGATTTTGCTTACAGCCACCATATTAACTGAGAGTGAAAGTGACTGTTCCATGGCTGTCCTTGTTAGTGGTGTTAAGCTGCAGATCCTGGATTTTTGTGGCAGGATTTCAGAACTGCTGTGGTTTGAGAAGAAGCTTCAATAGGGAGATGACTGAAGACGGGATTATTATGTGGAGGTTCAGGAATGAATTCTGTCTCTGTTGGAGGAAATCACAAAATGATCCTTGATTCAGAGAAGTCAAGACTTTGCTTAAGCTTTTTATGTTTCGTACATTTTATCTGCCTAAGTGGTGTGGGAAAAACTTGTCTCATGGGAAATCAAGTTTGTCATCTTTTGTGTCTCTCAGGATACATAACACACCGTATCCAAGTATGTAAATCCCTGTACATCAGATTATTCATTCTGACACTTTTGACAACATTTAGATTATGTGGACTGATTACTGAAAGTCACAAAAGACTTCAAGCTAAATTAGGAAATAAACAACCCTGAATAGGATGCAAAAGCTGAGGATTTAAACTTAATAAACGAGAAATTAATTCAAAATGTTAAGCATGCTTATAGCGATATTTTGTATTTAACAGCCTGCATGAATATTGATTTTGGTAGTAGATTTTGTTCTGCTGACCAAAAAAAGAGAAATCCTGGAGTATTTAATTATTCTCTTTTTAAAATGGCTATTTTAGTTATTATTGCTTTCTAGATTTCTTCCAATTTTTGACAGTAATTTAAAAAATCATTTTGATGACTATTTCA